CGGCTCAGGTCCGCAGGCCCCGGGGCCGGGGGCGGGATTCCCCACGATGGAGCTCGCTTGACTGACCCCCGGGCGATGTAATACCTGTTTGCCTGTCTGCTCTACCCCCCCCCCCCCCCCCCCCCGCCTCTCCCCCCCCCCCCCCCCCGCCCCGGTGAGAGGATGCCTATGCATGCACGCTGGGCACTCCCCCCCCCCCCCCTGCCCCCCCCCCCCCCCCACGGGCCGCTGGCGGGACCGGGGGATGCGACACAGATCGCCCGACCCCCCCCCCACAAGGCACCCCTCCCACGCGAGGAGGGGACGGAGGGAGTCTCACGCAAAAGAACCCAGACTGAGGCGTGTGCTGCGCACGGTCGCCGGCACACTGTCCTCCCTTCCCCCCTGGCCCACCTCGCATTCCGTCTCTTCCCCCCCCCCCCTGCCTCCCCGCTCCCTCATCCCCGTGAGCCACATGTCTCCCTCCGCTGTGGCATCTCCCGACCGGGTGACGGTCTCCCGCCTGCGCCCGGATGGCCCGGTCCTTTGCATGGCCAATCCCTGGGACCAAGCGGCCATTGGATCCCTCCTTCGGGTGTCCTTCGCGCTGGATGTGGACCTCCGGCCGCTGCACGGGGCCCCGGGGCACCTGCTGGACGACCACTCGCTGGCTCGGAGCGTGGATTACTCCGCGGCGTCGGAGCAAGTGCGCGCGCACCTGCGCACCGAGTCTTTCGGGTATGCACTCCCGGCCCCGGGACCGAGCGATATCCCCCCGTGCCTCTTCCCCCGGGCTCCTAACCCCTGCTCTCTCTCTCTCTCTCCCCCTCCCTCTGATAGATCGCCGATTGAGCTGGCCATTGGCGTGGCGGAGCTCCTACTTGGAGCCCATGGGCGCATTGTCGGGGGGCCTGCTTCGCGTGCGGAAGTCACGCTGCATGTCGAGCGTCCGTTCCTCCTGGCCGATATGCTGGAAGTCCGCTGTGTGATGGCCCTCCCTGCGGATGGTGGCCCGGCGGTCGTGCAGTTCGTTTCCTCCCTCCCTCCCTCCCTCCCTTCCTCCCTCCCTCCTCGTCCAGCTGGCATGCACGCGCACCTGAATGCGCACATGCACGCCCTTTCCCGGCCCGGGGACCCCACGGACTAACACCCCTTCATTGCCTGTCTCCCCTTTGGCCGAAAAGGTCCCTTTCGGCTCGGGTGTGCGACGTGCGCGTGGCGGCTGTGATCGGCCTCCGCGAGTATGAGCGCCATGCGCCCCAGCCGATCCTGCTCAGCTTTGACCTGCACCTGGCCCCGGTGGCTGGGGGGTCGGCGTGCGGCGGGGCCTCGGCCGATGTTTCGCGGCTGGGGGATCTCTGTGCCGCGGCGGTGGCCACCATGGCTGCCAGCTCCTTCGGCACGCTGGAGGCCCTGGTCACCGTGGTCATCGGGCAGCTGGAGGAGCGCATCCGGGCCACCTCTGGCCGGGTGTCCCTCGGCCAGTCGGCTCCCCTGCAGGCCGAGACCCTGACCGTGGACATTGGCAAGCCCATCGCCCTGCCGGCGGCTGATTGCGCAGCCGTGTCGGCCACTCGACGCCTGGACCGTCCGGCGCGCTCTCTGGGCGCCGCGCTTTCCGACGCCAGCCCGGCTCCTTCCGAGGAGGTGGTCTGCTTTTTGGACGTGTGCTCTTCCGATCTCCCATCGCCCTGCCGGCGGCTGATTGCGCAGCCGTGTCGGCCACTCGACGCCTGGACCGTCCGGCGCGCTCTCTGGGCGCCGCGCTTTCCGACGCCAGCCCGGCTCCTTCCGAGGAGGTGGTCTGCTTTTTGGCCATCGGTGGGAATATCGGCGACCGGTCGCAATTTCTCTTCGAGGTGCGCACACGCCCGCACGGCCGCCTGGCACTTGCTCCCCAATGCGCGCCTCTCATGGCCCCTGGTATGGGCCCCTTCCACTCCCTGAGGGAGGTCCGGCTGACCATGCGGCTCCTGGTGGCGCCCCGGCGGCATCCCTTTCCATCGGATCACCATGCAGGCCGTGCGTGCCCTGCGGCGCATCGATGGTGTTCGCCTGCTGGACACCTCCTTCTTGTATGAGACGAGATCGGAAGAGCGTCGTGGGCCCCTGGTATGGGCCCCTTCCACTCCCTGAGGGAGGTCCGGCTGACCATGCGGCTCCTGGTGGCGCCCCGGCGGCATCCCTTTCCATCGGATCACCATGCAGGCCGTGCGTGCCCTGCGGCGCATCGATGGTGTTCGCCTGCTGGACACCTCCTTCTTGTATGAGACGCCCCCGGCCTATGTGACCGATCAGCCGGCCTTCCTGAATGCCGCTCTCAAGGTTCGCGCTCGTGCACACGCACACACACACACACACAAACACAAACACAAGCACGCGCGCGCATACATTCATGCATAGATCGCTCCTCATCGGCCAACACCCGACGCCCAATGACACCCGGGCTCGGAAAAGAGGCACTTCCCCCTGTCACTGACATGGCCATGCCCCTCCCTCTCCCCCTCTCCCTCTTTCTCTCCCTCTTTCTCTCCCTCTCCCTCTCCCTCTCTCTCTACCCTCCGCGCGCCCGACATAGATCGCCACAACTCTCACGCCGCGGGCGCTGCTACGCGCTTGCAAGGCCATCGAGGTGGCCCTCGGCCGGCCGGCTCCCTGCGGCAGCATTGTGGCCGCCGAGTCGCCGGTGGAAATTGACGTGGCCATCGACCGGGGCGCCCTTGATGGCTTGGTGTATGTCCGGAATGGCCCACGCCCGATCGATCTGGACATCCTCTTTTACGGCGACGCCACGGTCCGCCTGGAAGCCGAGGCCCTTTCCAAGGGAGCACCCCCCGGACCGGCGGCCGATGATGCCCTTGCCCGGGCGTCGGCCCTCGGCGGAGGGTTCCTCACCATTCCACACGCTGGCATTCCGGAGCGCGAGTTTGTTCTCCGGCCTCTGATGGAGTGCGTGCTCCGTCCTTGTTTGTTGGGGGTCTTTTTCTCCTCCGACGCCTGCCTCCGCGATGAGCGACGGCAGCTCTTCCACGCCGGGCCCTCTTCTCACCATCGCATGCCACCCTGGACCGTAGCATCGCCCCGGATTTCGTGCACCCAGTCAATGGCCTAACGGTGGCCGAAATGCTGGCCCAGCTGCCTGCTCGGTGCGTGGCTGGCTTTGTCCTCTGCTCGTCCACCCACCGATCTTCAATTTGCCGCATGCTCATCTGCACCAACTAACACCTCCCGCTGACACGCTGGTGGGCATGCTGTGTGCGGGCTGCTGCCGGGCCTTTTCCCCCTTCCTCCTTCCAGTGACTTCCCACCGCGGGTGTACAGCTTTGGCCGTGGAGGCCAGCTGGTGCCGCATGGCGCCCACACCTTGACCGTGGGCATCCTCAACTTGACACCCGACTCCTTTAGCACGGCGCCCGGTGAGCATCTTGTGGCATCTGCCGGCACTGGCCTGGACCTCGATCGGGTCGAGGGGCTGGCCCGCAGCATGCTCGACCAGGGGTACGTCCCTTCCTCTTCAGGCCATTTCGCCGAGTGGGCTCTCCTCCATCGGCCTCTGCCTGCTGTCTAGCTACGCCTGCCCCCCTCTCCTCCTCGCCACTTTGATCTCTCGCTCTCTCTCGCTCTTTTTTTTTCTCTCTCTCTCTCTCTCGCTCTTTTTTCCCGCTCTTCTCTCTCGCTCTTTTCTCCCGCTCTTCTCTCTCCCTCTCTTTTCCACGGGCTTTTCTTGCTCTTTGCCAGTAGGCCGGTCTCACTGACTCACCCGATGCGACTCCCAGTGCTCACATCCTGGACCTTGGGTCTCAGTCTACTCGGCCGGGGGCTGTGGAGATTCCCGCCGACGTGGAGGCCGAGCGCTTGCTGTCGTCGTGCGTGCGCCTGCGCCAGGCCGGCATCCGGGCCCCCCTGTCGCTGGACACCTACCGGCCGGCGGTGGCCGAGCGCGTGGTCCGCGGTGTTTGGGCCTTCGAGAGGGAGGCCTTCGATGCCGGTGGCATCCTGATCAACGATGTGTCCGGTGGCGCCGGTGGGCTGGCCTTGCCAGGCGAGGAGGCCGCCCCCCGCGACCCCGGCGGCATGTTGCGTTTGTGCGCCAATCTCAACATTCCGATCGTGCTGATGCACGTTCGTGGCGACACCGCCACCATGACCAGCGCCGAGATGAAGGACTACTCGGCCCAGGGCGGCGTGGTTCGCGGGGTGGCGTGCGTGCCGTCTCTTGCCTCTCGCTGCCTGCTCTCCTCCTTTCGCTCTTTCTTTCCCTTTTCCCCAGCTCCCCGCCATGTGCCCCTGCTGACATGTGCCAGGGGGACGGGAACCCCAGCTCCGAGCTGGCGAGTCGCGTCCGTGCAGCCATCGAGGCCGGTGTTCCCCGGTGGAATATCCTGGTGGATCCGGGCCTTGGCTTTGCCAAAACTCCGGCCGACTCCCTCCGTCTGATTCGCCAGGTGGCCGACCTCCCTGCCGGCTTGGAGCATGGTACGTCCTCGACCATGGCCGGACCACAGGCCGAAACCCCCTGCCGAGAACGGGGGCTGTTTGTGTGTGTGTGGGGGGGGGGGGTGTCATTCCCTGTCACATGCCTCTGCCGTTCCACTTAGCCTGACTCTTTTCCCGTGCCCCAGACCTCCGAGGGATGCCGGTTTTCGCCGGCCCCTCGCGCAAGGGCTTCCTTGCGTCGGTTGTCCCGCGCGAGCCACATGTACGCGGCCCCCTCCCGCTTGCTCCCCTTCTCCCCTTGCCGTCAGCCTGAAGACCTGCTAATCCCCCATCGCTGCCATTTTCCACCCTCACACAGGAGCGTGTCTTGCTCACTGCCGCCGCCTGCTCGTCTCTGGTGGGTGCACTGCTGGGCCGGTTTGCGGCCGATCGTGCTGGCGACGCGCGCTACGACGCCGACCGGCCGCTGCTGCTCCGCGTGCACGACGTGGCCGAGTGCGCCGAAGCCACCCGGCTGTCTGATGCGATCTGGAGGAGTGCGAATTGATGTGGGCATCACGTGCCGCGCATATCCCATGACCCCACGGGGGTAGAGCAGCGCGCGCGGCCAGCAGCTGGCCGGGTCCTGCGAGTCGACCCAGGCGGCGGTGGGACCCCCGTCTGCGCCTGCGGGGGGCAGGTTGGTGCATGCGGGCACCCACGCCTGCACCCCTCTCTCGGGGCTGTGCTCCAGGTCCCCCCCCCCCCCCCCCCCCCCCCCCCCCCCCCCCCCCCCCCCCCCCCCCCCCCCCCCCCCCCCCCCCCCCCCACCACCCCCCCCCCCCCCCCCCCCCACCAACCCCACCCCCCCCCACACACACCCCACCCCCAGCACACACACCCCACAACAACGACCCACACCCCCCCCCACCCCCCCCCCCCCCCCCCCCTCCAGCTCCACGGCCCCCCCCCCCCCCCCCCCCCCCCCCCCCCCCCCCCCCCCGACCACGCGTGTAGACGCATGGGAAGGGCAAAAGGGTTTGGCTGTCGGCGGGGGCGCCGGTGCATTTATTGCCCGGGCCCCGCCGAATGGGCCAGCTGCTTTTCGTGGCCAGGCCCGGGGGCGCGGCGGGGCACAATCGATCATGCTTGGCGTCCAAACATGGGAAATGCAATTTCATGTCCCCCCCGCGGGGGGGGGGGGGGGGGGGGGGCGGCGGCAGCGAGGGCGAGGGTAGCGCCGGGGCCCCCGGGCGTGCCAAGTCTCTGGTGAGACGCACTTTGCGGGCCGCGAGGGAAGGCGTGCTTGTGGGCATGCGCACGGCCACCGCCGCATGACAACAGCAGATCCGCCCGTCAACATGTTGGTACAAAGCAATCCGGCCAGCGGGCATACGGCTCCAGGGTGTGGCCTCCTTGCCGCACACCCACCCACCCACACACGCGCCTGCTTTGTCGCCGTTTGCTGCATCCCCCTCCCCCCCCCCCCCCCCCCCCCCCCACCCCCCACCCCCCTCTCACCCCCCCCCCCCTACCCACCTCCCCACCCCCACCCCCCGTCATTGTCGACGAGGCCTTCCTCGCCAAGTATGACCTGAAGTCCAACGATGCCATCCTCGCCGAGGAGAAGCACATGCCGATGTTCGTTCCCCCCACCCCCCTGCCCTTCCGCCTTGCCTCCCTCCCGCCTGCCTGCCTGCTGACTCCCTCTCCTCGCCGGTGTAGCTACGAGGAGGTCGCCAAGATGCCCGACATGTTCCACATCGCTGGCGGTGCCACCCAGAACTCCATCCGTGTGGCCCAGTGGATGCTCCCGGACAACCCCGACAGCACCGCCTTCTTCGGTGGTGTCGGTAACGACACCCAGGGTGAGACCCTCCGTCGCGTGGCCACCTCCGACGGTGTCCTCACTCGCTACCAGGTCATCGAGGACGGCACCCCCACCGGCACCTGCGCCGTCCTGATCAACGGCCTCAACCGGTTCGTCATCACCCCGGGGCTCTGTCCCCATGCATTTCTCCCTCCCCCGGCCCCCCCCCCCCCCCCCCCCCCCCCCCCCCCCCCCCCCCCCCCCCCCCCCCCCCCCCCCCCCCCCCCCCCCCCCCCCCCCGCTGTCCTTTTCCCTCCTCCCCGGTCCGCTGCTCCTCCCAACAGCTCCATGGTCACCAACCTCGGCGCCGCCAACAAGTTCAACATCGACCACCTCAAGTGCCAGGAGAACCTGGACATCGTCCACAACGCCGAGCTCCGCTTCGTGTCTGGCTTCTTCCTGACCGTCTCTCCGGACACCGCCATGCTGGTGGCCAAGGACAGCTCCGAGCGCAAGAAGACCTTCATGCTCAACCTGTCGGCCCCCTTCATCCCTCAGTTCTTCACCGAGCCCCTGATGGCCCTCATGCCCTACACCGACATCCTGATCGGCAACGAGTCGGAGTTCCTTGCTCTCGGCCAGACTCTCGGCGTTGCCGCCTCCGGCGAGGCCCTCACCCCGGAGGACGTCGTCCGCCATGTTGCCCTCAACATCCCCAAGGCCGACGGCTCGGCCCGCCTGATCCTCTGCACCCAGGGCGCTGACCCGACCCTGGTCGGCACCACCGAGAACGGCGAGGTCAAGGGTACGTCACCACATCACACCCTCCGGCCCCTTGCCGATGGCTCTCCTTTTGCCCATGCGCCCGCCTCTCCGCGCTTGTCCCGCTCCCTTGCCGGTGCACTTGCTCACAGTCTCCCGGTGTCCATTTCGCCCTCTGCCCCTCTCTCGATGGTCCTTCCTCCCGCTGCTGCCCTCGCTGCCCTGCCTCCCATGTGTGGTGCCCACCGACAGTCACCTCTCACCCGGCCAACCTCATCCCCGTGGAGGAGATCGTCGACACCAACGGTGCTGGCGACGCCTTCGCTGGTGGCTTCATCTCCCGCTTTGTCCTCGGTCGCCCGGTGGAGGAGTGCATTGCCGCCGGCAACTACGCCGCCGGTGTCATCATCCGTCACTCTGGCATCAGCATCCCCAAGGAGCGCCCCGCCTTCTAAAGAGTGACACATGCATGCTCACCATGTGGCCCGCGACATATGTGCACCTGCTGCCATACGCGGCGCCCCGCGGTGTGTATCCTCTCCGGCGGTTTCCTCCGCAAAGGCCCGGTCGTTCGAAGGTGCCCAGCAAGAGGGAAGGCCCCTCCCCCCCCCCTGAGAAGCAACCTGCGCGGTGCCAAGGGCAAACACACGCTCCTTGTGTATCTCTCTGTGTGCATGTGTGCCTGTGTGTGTGTGCGCGCGCGCGCATGCGCGCCTCTCTCTTTCTCTCTTTGAGCTCACCATTGCTCCCACCCAATGACATACATTCCGCGCAGACACATACCCACAAACACATGAGCCTGAGTCGGGATCCTTCTCTGGGGAGGGCTTTATTCTTCTTTTTTTTTTTTTCCCGGAGGGGAGGTGGGTGGTATGATACAGCCTCGTGACTCGAGCGATTTGGGGGTCTTGAAAGGGGGGAGGAGGGGGGGGGGGGACAGGGCCGCGATGAACTGGCGGTATGTGTGTCCATGAGGAGCGAGCGAGAGAAGCCCCAAACGCAGGGAAAAGAGGGAACGGTGGAAGGGGGATCATGGGAAGGACGGAGAGTCGCGAGGGGCGGCGACGTGCAGCCTGTGCATCGTCCCCGTGCTCACGCATGCATCGGTCCTGGGCCTGCGCCGCAGGCTGGCGCGCGGGGGGGAGGATCAGAACGTGGACCAAGCTTCGGAACTCTCCAGCGACCGGAGGACGTCCGTGGTCGAGCGCCGGGGGCGGAAGCCGCGCGGATCGGCCCCGGAGCACTTCGGCGAGATGGCACATGGGAAGCTGAAGGAACAGGGGTTCTCCGCGGTGCAGGGGTAATCCGCGCGGTGGGCCTTGCAAGGCCAGTCGGGCGAGCAGGGATTCGAGCTCAGGCAGAAGCGCTGCTCGCCGGTGGGGTCGGTCGACACGAAGGGGACCGGCGAGCCGGTGGGCGTGGGGGCAGGGGAGGGGGCCCCGCCGGCGGCCGCCTCCGAGTGCTGGGACATCGGAGGAAGGGGAACTGGCGCCAACTGGCCGGCAGTGGCGATGGCCGCCTCGGCTGACGCCGCCGAAGAGGTGGACAGGGACCGGCCGGCCCCGGCACCGGCACCGGGAAGCTGTGAAGGGAATGCCCCAGAGCTGGCGTCGAAGCTGGAGGACTCGCTCGACTGGCTCACCAGATCCGGGTCCGAGTAAAGTAGCGAGCTGGCGCTCTTGGTCAGGAATTGCGCGTCGCCGGCCTGGGCGGCCAGCATCTCGGCCGCATCGATATACCGGTAGAAGTCCAGATAGCAGGGCTGGCAGGACTGGTGGGCGAGCGGATGTCAGTGGGGAGCCGAGAGCCGAGAGGAACAGGGTCGCCGGGGAGCATATACGGCGCAGGGGTGCAGGGGGCAGTGGGGAGGGGGGGGGAGGACAGAGGAGTGGGGGAAGGACAAAGCCCAGGAAGGGGATGGTTGGCCGTGCATGGGCTTGCTTCCGGCACCCCCGCCATCACACGCACTCGAACAGTGGGCACCGAGCGCGAGCCGATGAGGCGCCGATCGACCGCCACGAAGGTGGCCTGTGCATCGAGGACAATGCGGAACCGCGCACAGGAACTGCAATAGACCCCGCCACAACGTCGGCAATGATGGCGCCGATCCCGCAGCAGGCCGAAGGTCCGCCCGCAGCCGCCAATGACCCGGCCATCGCCGCACACCAGGGCCTCCTGGTCCGGGACCCAGTGCTCGCGCGTGGGGGAATCGGTCGGCTGCCCGCCGCCAGCTCCATAGCCCAGACCCAGGGCTGCCAGATCCTCGGTCAAGGTCCCACGGCCGCTGGTCGATCCGGCTGACCGGCCGAGGCTGCTGGTGCTGCCGGTGGCACTGCCGGAGCCGGCACTATTGGGACCGGGCGAGCCGACCATGCCATCCGGCATGAAGGGACTACTGAAGGCAGCGGCAGAACCGGTGGGAGATGCTCCGGCACCGAGGGCCGGCGCATTCACCATCATCGGCGATGGGGGGGCCGTTCCACCGAGGCCAGGGTACTGCGGGAGGTATTGCGGGGCCGGCGCCAGCGCCGGTGCCTGGTTGGCATGGTAGCGGGACTGGGGAAGGTGTGGGGCGGCGGGGTGGGGAACAACCGGGCCGGCACCATGGCCCTGGCCCTGGTCGCCGTACGGAGAACCGGAGAGGTGCGAGGGCAGCGACATGAGTGCCGCTGGTGGGGCTGGTGCGAGCTGCTGCGACCACGAAATGTGAAGGGGGAGGGGGAGGGGGAGAGAGGGAGAGAGTCGGAGGGGAATGGGAGAGGGGGCAGGGGGGGGGGGGGGTGATTATATGACGGAACAGACGTCGGACTTCAGCGGGAGAAGGGGGAGATCTGATGGGAAGCGGGAAGAGGGAGCCAAGGACCGGGGATGATCAACATCACGGAAGCTGCCAAGCGGCGAGAGGTAAGGGGAGAGAAGGGAGGCAGCAAGTGGAGAGACTTACTGGTGCCGATCTCAGGGGGTGGAAGGGGGGGCGGGAGCGGTGGTGGAGAGTTCGCGATTTCCCCACAGGACAAGCCGAGGGAATGGAGCGGGCGCCAGGAGGGCGATGAGGCGATTCGGGGGTGGGGGAGAGGAAAGGAGAAACTCTGGCGCAAGGCCGAGCGCGGCCAACCGCCCCGGGCGCTGTCTCTTGTCGTCCGGCAAGCCGGAACAGAGGGCCTCAGGGGGGGGGGGCCGAACCGTGGGACGAGGCGGCCCGGCCCGGCCCTTCGGGAGAGGGGGGGGGGCGGCGGGGGCCGGCGACCTGCCGGCGGCACGGAGACATGCTCCACCGCACGACTCAAGGACCAGGCCCGCGAAAGGGACCGAATGGAATGCCGCAGCTCAAGGGGCCGAAGGCCCAGGAGCGACGCCCAGCCTGGCACCCACAGCGCGGGCGAGGGGGGGGGGGAGGGAGGGGGCGAGCAGTCCCAATTCCTGGGAACATACATGGAAACCGCCGCGGGGGCCGGCCCCCGGAGTCAGGGGCCTCTGGGCGGTCGAATGCCGAGAAACATATCCTGGCGTATATACACTGCCGTACTGGGCCGGTTGGTGCCCCCCGCCCCCCTCCC